AATATATAAACCTTTCTTTTTTTGCTTTTAGTTCTTCCTGCAACTTCAGCAGGCTGCTTTGGAAGTTCTTGGAGAGAGTAAGGCTCTCAGTAAATTGCAATTAGGGCAACTAGCCTCTATGGAGAGCTCAGTCTTTGATGATATGATTAACCTCCTGGAGCGCTTGAAACTTGACATGTTGACTCGCCAAGTAGACCATGTCTTCAGAGATATCAAAGATGCAGCGAAATTGTACACAAAAGAAAGGTGAGTTTTCTGTATCCTCATTTATAGCTACTCTTTTAGTCTAAATCAGAATTAAGTCTTTTGTAATAGTCTGTTTAGAATCAGTATCCAGAATCATTAGAGAGAGTGAGCTGTCCTGGATAGCAGAGGCTTAATAACTCTTTATTTATATTCTAATCCCATTTATTTAAAATTTTCCAATTAAATCTTTCAAAAATATAGTTTATATTCTTGCCATTTTAACCTGTTTTTACAATATAACTTACTTTCTTAATGATTCAGTCATGATCAATTGTTGAACCATATCAGTGGGCTGATAGGGCTGAATGAATTAAACTGCTGTGTCCTCTCCCAACCACTTGGGGTGTCTGCCCTAAGGAGCTTGTAGCAGCTGATGGTCAGAACTTTCAGCTTCTCTTATGCTTCTTTCTCTGTTCTCTTGTCACAACGTCAGTTGCCTTTGCCTTCTTTCAGGTCCTGCCTCCCTGACTGCTGCCCCTTCTACTATCTTCCCTCAATCAGAAGCTTTTCCTTCTTGCCTTTTCTGTATTTTGTTGCTTCTTTCAGACTTCTTGATTTTTAGCTGAAAAGCATGATCATTTATAGACATCATCACCAGTCAAGCCAACAGTTTCTTTAATTCTTTTCAGTGACCCAACCAGTCACAGCCTTTTTATATCTTTGGTCCCCTTAAAGCTATTTTTGTTGCAGCTGAAAAATTTTCTTCTCTGCCATAAACACTCTTTTCTACCATCCTTTTCTGGGTTTTTAACTCACCACTAAGAATACTTGAGGATGCCAGGAGGCTAGCCTCAAAGTAACTGAGATTTTACTATATTTAAAATCAATTATTAAACAGTTTGAACCTTTAAAATATTCTTTCAGATATGAAAATGTCACTATTCCTATTGTTTCATTTTGGAAATCAGTATAGAAACTGCACATGTACTTTAAATATTGGTCTGTTAACCAAGTAGCTGATTCATAATAACCAGTATTAGTGCGGCATAAAATCTTAAGGTGTTTTTTTTTTAAAGACTTGTGCTATTTTAATTTTATTCAACTGATAACCAAGAGTTATTTTTGTTTTGTTTTTTTTTTTAATTCCAAGTAATGCCCATATAGTTTGAGTAAATTTTGGAATTTGTTACAGCTTTTTAAAAAAAAATTTAAATGACTTTTGCTATGTAGATTTTTCAGCAATGGACTGCGGTTTTGGTTCTTTCAGGTGGTTGTCCTTGCCCTCTCAGTCAGAGCAAGCAGTAATGTCTCTGTCAAGTTCAGCTTGTCCATTGTTGCTTTCTTTAAGAGATCACCTACTTCAACTGGAACAGCAGCTTTGTTACTCCTTATTTAAAATTTTCTGGCAGATGCTTGTAGAAAAGCTGGATGTATACATCTATCAAGAAGTAAGTAGATTGCCTAATTGGCCTTGGGCTATACCTATGAAAGAATCTCTTACGTGGGATAAATTGTTCTTTATTCTCACAGATAATTCTTGCAAATTACTTCAATGAAGGAGGAGCAGCTCAGCTTCAGTTTGACATGACTCGGAATCTTTTCCCATTGTTTTCCCACTATTGCAAGAGACCAGAAAACTATTTCAAGCAGTAAGCAAATTGCAGATTTGTTATATTTCAACAAGTGTTTCTATAACAAGGTTGCTGGATTAGGTTGATTCCTTTTTAAAAAAAAAATTTAAAGCTGATAGAGGTATACTCTCTCATGTATGGTGAAAAAAGGTATAGGCATTATCAATTAAATTCAGTAGGTGTGATGATAATGTAATCCATTTAATGTAATTCCTCTAAGATTTTTAAAAATGATTTCTTCACAGCAGCTCTTTAGGTACTTAACTGTGTTTGGTATTATGTTCAGCACTATGGGTGACACTAGAGAAGTACAAGACTGGTCCCTGTTTTCAAGGAACTTAACAGAAATGAAAAGGAGCCAAATATTGGCTTTTATCTGACATTTTATTTAATATTTAAATTTTGCATGATGCTATATGATAAAATATAAACATAATAGCTCACACATTTGCAGTGATTTTCAGAGTGCACTTCCCACAACATGGAAAGCAAGCTCAGTTCTGTGAAATGCATATAAATGTAAAATTAAAATGGCAAAGTGTAAAACATTTCATATTGAAGGTTAGGCCAGACCTGAAGTTTTCTCCTCACCTACTTAAACCTCATAGTAATCTTGGTTATCATTATATTCTGAGGTCTTGACTTCAGAATTCATTGGTACAGAGAAACTCCTTCCTACTAACGTAGTTTAGCAACTTTTTTTTTTTTCCAGTCAAGTCTTGGAGTTGCCTGGGATACTTCAAGGTTAAGGGCCTTGCTCAGGATGACTCAGACCTCCATAGTATAGGTTCAGCTTGCCTTCTCAGTTCTTTATCATTCTGCCACACTTTTTTATATGAAGCAGAATTGATGTAAGCGCTTTCAGGATTGGTTTTTAAATTGAATATCTTTTTAAAAACCAAATCTAAATACAGTGGGGCAGGCTTTTTTTTTTTTTAGAACTTCTTCTGCTAGATAGTACAATAAAAGCCTAGTCAATACTGCCCTACCAACTTTCACTTCAGTTTTTCTTCTCTCTGCTTCTTAATTTTTCTCCTTCCTCATATCCTAAAACTACCTTTATATATGCATGAGATCTTGACTGATAGGAAGGGAAATATATACAGCAGGAATAGATGAGCTATTAAAAATAAAAACATACAGGGGCAGGTAGGTGGCGCAGTGGATAAAGCTCTGGCCTTGGAGTGAGGAGAACCTGAGTTCAAATCCAGCCTCAGACACTTGACACTAGCTGTTGGACCTTGGGCAAGTCACTTAACCCTGACTGCCTCACCAAAAAACAAAAACAAAAAACCATACTATATTCCATTTTGAGAGATTAGAAATATTTTTATGTAGTTTTAAGAGGGCTAAAACCTAATAGCAATTCATACAAAAGTTTCTAAATACAGACTGAAGAATATTATTTTTCACTTTCATTTTTTTGTTTAAGTCTTCTTGCACAAAATTACTAATATGGAAATGTTTTACATGGTTGCACGTGTATAACCTATATTATATTGCTTACTGTTTCAGGGAAGGATAGAATTTGGAACTCAGAACTTAAAAAAAATGTTAAAAATTGTTTTTACATGTAATTGGGGAGAAAATAATATTTTTTTAAAAAAGATCATTAAGCTGCTAGTGAGGAGTGGGTACTGTCTCAAAATCAAATTGCTTTGTAACAATGTAAATAAGTTTGTTTTTGTTTGCTTCTCCTTCTCTTAAAAATAGTATCAAAGAAGCATGTATTGTCTTGAATTTAAATGTTGGATCCGCCCTCCTTTTGAAGGATGTGCTACAGTTGACTACAGAAGAACCTACTGCCACAGCAGCATTAAATGAACTTGGGATTTATAAACTAGCTCCACAAGATGTTGAGATTCTACTTAATTTAAGAACGAACTGGCCCAACACAGGAAAATGATGCAAGGCCTTTTTCAAAAGGCTTTTGATTCTGATTTTTTTTAAAAGTTCAATAAACAAGTGAAACTTGATTCAGAACTGCTTAATGAAGTTTTGTCTGCAGTATTTCATCACTGGCTGCACTATAGTAAAATGCTGTTTAGTAGTCATTTTTTTTTCCCACATGAGGTTCAACATTTACATACTGTGAGCTCAGTTACTACAATAGAGCTGTTTCCTTTCTGTATTTGTTCAATATATACCTCATTGTTTCATATTCTCATTGGCCTTCCCAAACACTTGTTTAAACTTAAGTTTTTTTGATCTAGCTGGCTTTCTTCTTCTGAAATTAAATGTAAAATATCTGTACAGTACTTTGACCAGCTGATTTTGTTAATTATCCTAATAAAATGTGGTATTGGTCATTCCTTACCAGAAATATCATCTCTACTCAGTAATTAGGGTTTTTTTTTTAAAAGTAATTTGTGTGTGCAGATCTTAGAAATCACCAAACAGTTCTCTCAATAGAGCAAAAGAGGGGCTAACATTAATTAAAGGCAATTTGGAGCCAGAAGAGAGCCTTTCTTTACACCAAATAAAGTTAGTGAGACCTAAAGCTCTGTGCTGTGAGAAGCTTAAGAGTAGAGAGAAATCCTGCTCTGCCCTGCTTCAATACACAATAGTCTCTCAAAGACAATGTATGAAGACTCTTGGGCCTTGAGATGAATTTGTAAGTTTGGCAAAGGATTGCTTTCTTTCCATGGCAGTGAAATAGCAGTTGAGTTCAAAGCGAATAGGGATGGTATGCAGCTTCTAGATCCCCACCCACCTCCTCCAGCATTGCCTCAACCACCGTCGCCTCTCTTTCGTTTACTGGAGTCTGTCATCACCCTGAAGAGATTGATGGTTGAAGCCTTCCAGTGTGAGATTTCATATGAGTGAAGATTATATCCCACAGAAAGTCCCAGAAGAGAGCACCAGTGTCAAAGTAAGCACAAGTTGATCAGTGCTTATTACCTCCATTCAAGTCACTTGACATTTGGCATGCTATGGTTAGAGAACAGCGCTTTTACCCAGATTTTGCATGTGCACGTGTTTACTAGACTGTAAATGTGATGATAAAGACTGTCTGGTAAAAACTTGGTAGGAAAATCTTCAGATTTCATCTTGGTAGCCCTGGCACCTAGCACTGGGCCTATACATACCAGATGTTTAAATAAGCAAGCTTTCTTCAATATGATCCCTCACCTTTGTTAAGAAAACATCCTAAGGAAACAGAGGAATTATGGAGTAGATTCTTAATAGCCTGGCTGTATCTTAATGTAAATGCATGTGCTTATCTGTAGAGTCTTAGACTTTGCTCATCTTCCACATTGCAGCAGGGCCCGAAGTAAATCAGGAATAGAAAGATACAAGTATTTGCCCCAAAACAAAAATAGTACAGCAATAAAGTAAACGTTTCCCCAAAAGAATTACATTAGGTGATGGAGAGAGGATTCCCTTGTCATCCTTCCTATCCCCTTATCTGAGGTCTAGGTTAAAGACGAAATCCGATACAGAAATAAAATTTTTACTGTAACAATTTAAGTCATTTAATGTAACATGTTTAATTCATTTAATTTAACATATTATAGGGAAAACACTAATCTTTAGAGAGAAATGTGGTTAGCATCTGAACTAGATAACCATAAACTTTAGGAACCATTTATTTTGTCCTAGATCCAGGGCATTAAAAAGCTGACCACATCTTCAAGGTCCTCTTATTCCTAAAGGGAACAAAAAAAAAATTCTATTTAATCACACGAATATAATGCTGATGGCAATTAAGGAGAGAAAAGGCCTAAATAAAATGTAAATTAACCAGTCATTTTTTGTACTATTTAAGAGAGTGTATGGACCATCCAAAACCACAAATAACTCAAATCCCACATCTGTCTCATTATGATGCATATTTATGCTTATGTGAATATAATTGTGTTTGATTTTTAAATTATTCATGTTTCCAATAAGAGGATGAAACCACATTTTTAAGGCCAAATTTAGGAAGAGCCGGGAAGCTGTCCAGTTACCCTCATTACCCTAATCAATTTCTTTGTGTTCTGCTAGCAGGGGATGAATTTATGTTCTAACTGAAGCAGATCAAGACAAACTAGAGTCATCCTTAAAACTTGCTCTTTACATGCCTGGCCTTTTTGTTGGGGGCTGGAATAAAGGTGGGGATTGTAACTGGCCTTTCCTGGGATCTGAAGCTGAATACGGGGAGAGAATTTCGAATGCCTTTTCAGTTCTTGCCTGGCTATGGGCTGTACTGTGACCTAGACTACAGAACCGGGAACCACCGGAAGGAAGGACATCCAGCACCAGGGAACTAGGCACACACCTCCTGGACTTTCCATTTCTGGGAGTGAATGTGATGTCTTGCAATGTAGGAACAGGAACAGAGTAAACGGAGAGGGCTGGTAATCCTCCACTAAAGCCCTGCTTCTGTCTCCTCATTGTTAGGAGGTGGCCAAGCTTTGTAACTTGGGTTGTTCCCACAAGTTGGGCAGGCTTCAAGAACAGGCTCCGTGACTAGTTGCCGTGTGTGAACAAATCCGATAAAGTGAATCTGTAATTCATTGATACAGGTGGATTCTTTTTTTACAAACTACTAAAATATTAGAAGGGGCTCCGGATCAAGGAATCTCTTAAGTTTGTTGTCTGATATTCTTAATGTCTTTGATTAGCCATACACGTCACCCAGGCCATCTCTTTCTCCAACCCATTAAACACTTAAGAACACATAGGAGAACACAAGTGGGTACACAGCAATACCAATGTCCGTGTCAAAGACATCAGAACTGCATACCAAAGAATGGACATTGTGCTCACCATGGTCATGAGTATCAATAACATTAATAATTAATATGTAGATAGTGCTTATTATGTGCCAGACACTGGCATATAGTAAATACAATGATCTCATTTGATTCTTACAGCAACCTTGGACATTGTTGAGAAAACTGAGACAAGTTAATTTACTTGTCCAATGTCACACAGCTCCTAAGTGTCTGAGGTCAGATTTCAACTCGGGTCCTTCCTGACACCAAGTCCAGTGCTCTATCCAATGTGGAAATGCCTCTATAGCTGGCACCCCAAGACAAGATTTCATCCTATGGCATGCACTGGATGTTCTTTTGATCTTAGGTGGAATAACTATTGCACAAGTAATTGTAATTTTGCAATTGTAATATTGCACAAGTATTGTAATAGGGACCAAAATTTTCTCTTGGGCAAGACATCTTTGAAATGGTATGTCTGTCTGAGAAAATGTGATTTTTTTTTCGTAACTTTGGGCTGTGACAGCATTCAGTTAATATTTTTCTTAGTATCAATTAGATTCAATAAGTTTGATTCAAATAAGTGTCAACTTGTCAATTTGAGTCAAATAAGCATCAGCTATCCTACTAGGTGCAAAAGATGGAAACACAAAAATATAACAGTTCCTGCCCTCGAGGGACTTACATTATCAATTATTTAAGTTAAATATTTAATCTCAACTGAAGTTCTACTGCGGTGCCTCTCTGTGGCACCCTAAGTGCCATACCAGGTGACCCTGGTTTTTTGAAGAATGTGTCAGCAAGGTATAAGTTTTGGTAGTTCACACACCAACATGGAAAGGTTCTGAGTGTGGTTATTAAGGACCCACCCAACTAAGTTTGGAAGGTCTTGTACCAGCAAACCAGTCACTAGGCCATTGATTTCTTTGGTCACAACTACTTATGAAATAATCTGTTGAATAGTTGGGATATAAACTGGTAGGAGAAGTATACATAATAATGAAATTATACTGAAAAAATTAGTATTAAGTACCCATTATTTATATATAAATAATGTAGATGTAATACTAGTATTTTTACTTAATTACATATATAAACACATTGATTGTGATGTGTTTATTCTTGCTATTCTAGTTTAAAGGAAAAAGAAAACCATTTTAACACTTATAAAACACACCCCAAAATACAAAAGCACTTCTAAATTCTTTCAGCCATCACAGATCAGAAGCTACTAATAGGCTCACCTAGGGGACCACGGCAAATTTCTGCCAAGATCACTTTTAGAGGACTGCCAACTGAGAAGGGCGCGTGGGGTGGCCTGTCACCCTTGACTTTACTGTCTACTAAACACTTCTACTCAGGCCCCTTAATGTCAAAACTATTGTCATTACCTCCCAGGTAAACCAAAGGTTTCTCAGAATGAAAAGCAGTACTTTCTCACAAAAAGTTGAGGGACCTTCTCTAAGCAATAATCATTCTACTTGAAGACTACTTAATATTTTCATTTTAAATTAAATAAACTTACACATCATCCCTGAAATCATCCCTAGTGATAACTTCTTTATCTTCATCTATTACTTCATCTGGATCCAGCAGACCAAGGTTCTTTAGGGCTATATATGTGAAAACCAGAAAAGAAATTCATAAAATGTAAATTATTTAAAGTGAGTTTGGAATGACTATGAACTATATACAGTTAGAATAGAATAAAAGTTACTAACCTTCTCTGTACTGAACAGGAGTTATAAAACCTTGATTTGTAGGGTCCATTATTTCAAACATAGAAACTAAGTTAGAGTCATCCATGAGACAAGGAAAGTCTACAGCAGTTATTTTCGCAATCTTAATTCTTGCTAACATATTGAGCAAAAAATCTCTTGGTTTTTCTGTAATAGAATAGTTTGTATTTTCATTAAGACACCATAAAATCAAAACCACAGTTATTCCAAACAAAATATTCTCAAAACACACAAACATTAAAAGATAATTTAGCTAAAAAATAGAATCTCAGAATTCTTAACTCTAAATTTTAAAATTTAATTTCCAGCAAAAGCAAAAAATGTGCCTATATGGATTATCTTATTACATGAAGTAAAAAAATCACATAACACACTTTCTGGAACACTGCTGAAAGGATAAGGGAAGTAAGAGCCAAAGAAGATAGGAGAAATGAAGGTTGGTACAGGAAATAAGGATTGATCCTGGAGGCTCATTCATATCGGTTTTATTTGGCTTACCCCTAAATGTCACTTTTTACAAATAGCTGGCAAACCCTGGAGCCATCTCTATGGGAAGCCATCTTCAGTAGTCTGAGAGTAGATGGTTAGGGTAAAACACACAATCACACATGCATACACCTTCCTGACCATTTCAAGAAAGCAAATACTACTGGAGATGACAACAACCTACAACATACAATAGTTCTCTATGTTGGATTGCCTTTTACTGACGGCACTTAAGATAGAAATGGGGACTAAGGGAAACGGGGATATAAGAGATAGTAAGAGAGCCTAAGGTCACTATGCCCCTTAAAAAAAGGTCAGCAACAGATTTGCCAAAAAAGGAACTCTCAAAAGAAAGTTGCATTTAGATAAAAACAAGGAAATCAATAAAAAAATTTTTATGCATTTAAAGAAGCAAAAGATTAACATACCTGAAGGAAAATATGCTTAAGTATCAATAGAAACACTAGAGGGGAAAATCCAAACTAGAATGTTTTCAAAGTACAATTAAATGGATTATGAACAATCTGAAGGAATTAAGGAAGAAAAAATTCAGCAAACTATGATTAAATGAAATTAAGAAACCAAGTATATGTTATTAAGAAATCTTAAGATCTTCTAGCAGCTCTTTTTGCAGTAGTAAACTGAAAAGAAAGGGGCTGTCCAATTGGGGAAGGGTTGGATGAGTTATGGTACGTGGGTGCAATAGAATACTATATGTGCCATAAGAAATGATGAAAAAGATGGTTTCAGTGAAACCTAGGAAGACTAGTATGAACTGATGCAAAGTGAGCAGAATAAGGAGAACAATTTATATTATAACAACACTGGAAAGCCTAAAGAACTCTGATCGATGCAAGGACCAGCCATGATTCCTGAGAACCAATGTTGAAACAAATGCTACCCAACTTCCTCAGAGGAGGTGGATTTAGGGAGCAGAATAAGACAATTTTCACTGGCCAATGTGGAGATTTGTTTTGCTTGACTATGTATGTTTGTTGCAAGGGTTTTTGTTTTTTTTGTTTGTTTGTTTTTGTTTTTTCCCAACAGTAGGGGGAGGGAGAGAAAATTTTTTTTTGTTTTGTTTTTATTTTTATTTTTTAATTTTGATCACTGAAGCAAAATTAATTTAAAATAGCACCAAAAGAAATGATGGGCAGATCAATGAATTGGATATGATATTAAAAAAAAAACTAGGAAAAGGACAAATTAAAAACCCCCAATTAAACACCAAATTGGAAATCCTAAAAATTAAAGGTGAAATTAATAAAACTGAGTGTAAGAAAACTATTGAATTTTTTTTTTTTTTTTGGTTAGGCAATAGGGTTAAGTGACTTGCCCAGGGTCACGTAGCTAGTAAGTGTTTTTATGTGTCTGAGGCCACATTTGAACTCAGGTCCTCCTGAATCCAAGGCCAGTGCTCTATCCACTATGCCACCTAGCTGCCCCTAGAAAACTATTGAATTAATAAATAAAATTAGGAGTTGGTTTTATGGAAAAAATAAAATTGACTGGTTAATATAATTTTTAAAAAGAGAAGAAAATTGAACCATTAGTATAAAAAGTGAAAGGGTGAATATAGCACTAATGAAGATGAAATCAAAGCAATTATTAGGAGTTATTTTGTCAATTATATGCCAATAAGTTTAACAATTTAAGTGACATAGGCGACTATTTACAAAAATATAAACTGCCTAAATTAACAGAAGAGAAGATAGAGTATCTAAATAATCCTATTTTAGAAAATGAAATTAAACAGGCCACAAATGAGCTTCCTAAGAAAAAAAAAATATCAGGACCAGAAGGATTTATAAATTAATTCTACCAAACATTTAGAGATCGACTAATTCCAATATTAAATAAACTTTTTGAAATAATAGGCAAAGGAGTCCTACCAAACTCCTTTTATGAAACAAATATGGTGCTGGTACGTAAGCCAGGAAGAGCAAAAACAGAAAAAGAAAATTCTAGACCAGTTTCACTAATGAATCTAGATGTAAAAACCCTAAATAAAAGACTAGATAGGAGATTACTATCATAAAGATTACACACTGTAACCAAGTGGGATTTATTCGAGGAATGTTGGGATGATTTAGCATAAGGAAAACTACTAACATAATTGATTATATCAGTAACAAAAGTAACAAAAATCATATGATTATATCAATACATGCAGAAAAAGCTTTTGACAAAATACAACACTCATTCCTATTAAAAACACTTGAAAGTACAGGTATAAATGGATTTTTCCTGAAAATGATAAGCTTCATCTGTCTAAAATCACAAGCAAGCATTATTTGTAACGTGGATACGCTAGAAGCATAAGAACTGAGAAAAGGCTATAGGATTTGGCAATTAAGAGCTGAATGGTAACTTTGAAAACAGCAGTTATCAGCTGAGTGATGAGGTTAGAAGCCAGCTCATAAGGGTTGAGGCGTGAGAGAACTTTGAACAGAAAACTTTGAAAGCAAAGAGAGTGGGAAGTTCTTTCCCTCAACCCCTTTCCCCCTAGTTTGGCTCTGAAAGGGATGAGCTCCGATGGCATGATAGGCTTGTTGGTAGGGGGTGGGGGGGGGGGGGGGATTGTGTTTGTTTTTGTTTTTATGACTGAGAAGACCTAGGTATGTTTGTAGGTAGCAAATAGAAGAGATGGGATATAAACAGACTGAGGAATTGTGAGTTGAGTGAGTAAACATCAACTTTGTTGTTCCCCAATTAAAGGGGTGGGGTTAGGAGTCCTATGAGACAGGTAATAAACTCCTTCAGAAAAGAGGGTAATCAGGTAATATGCCCGGACAGAATAAACCTCAAAGGAAGAGAAGTTGCTAAATGGTGGCAGAGTGAGTCTTAGAGGGGCAACGAGGAGTAGGCTATGCTCACCACCCTTACCACCCCTTTTGGGGGTTGAAGGAAGAGGGACGACAGATTACTCTGAGTGCAGTAGAACGGAGAAGAATGAAAGGAAGAAGTATAAAATTAAAGAAAAGGTATTAATATATGTATAGCCTATATCAGATTGCGCGCCGTCTTCGGGAGGGAGGTGGGGAGGGAAGGGGAGAAAAATGTAAAACTCAAAAGTCTATGGAAATGATTGCTGATAATTCAAAATAAATTAATTAAAAATTTAAAAAAAAAGAAAATGTATTACATACAAAGCTGGAAAACACAGTTTTTGCTCACCAGGAGTCTGCAAGCTGGTCGGGGATGGCAGTGTGACCTCTTAAGGTCACACTGCATTGCTGACAGGAAGAAAACCAGGACTAAAGTCAGGTCTCCTGGCTCCCAGACACTTCACCACATTGACCCTACCTGCTGCTATTAATTGTCTGAAGGAAGAGACGAGAGAGTGGAGTGTTTTGTAGGGGGCGGTGTAGGGATGCATGTGTGTGGAGGGGTCCCTGCACGGGAATGGAAGTAGAAAGCTGCTAGGGGAAAGTCAAGATCTTTGACCAGCGTCGCATCAAGGAAAGCAGAGCACAAAGGCAACGGGCAGGAGGAACCCTTACCGGGTCGATGATAGAGCAGCTGAAAAGTGAGGTAGTTCAGCAGCTCCATGATATGATGTTTTTTCAAATAATGCTGGGCCTTCTCCTCCGGGCTAATGTAAAGCCGGTCCGCCATAGCCAAAAGATCTGCAACTTAGCTGTTGCTAAGAGACACTAGGCTGTCCCCCCACCCGGCCCACTGTTTTCACTCTCCAGTGAAGCCACGCCCAGGATCCGCTATTAAAACAGTGGAAGAGGATGACGCTTTGGCTGCAGCCTAAAGGTCAGGCCTGAGTGCTGGACCTTTTTTTTTTTTCCTCCTTTTATCTGAGATTTTCACAGCAGTCCCAAAGTCTTGCTGCAAACTGGGGGTGAGATGGTCTGAGATCTCCCAAAGCGACACTATTTACAATTGGTTAGCACAAGCAAAACTTATGGCATTACTTGCCTAGTATGTGAAGCAGCCTTGTCGCTGCCGGGCAGTAAGGCTAAGGCTGCTTTATTCATTAATTTCCTTGTAGCTCCCGAGTGCGCTCTGCGGCGTCCAGGATCAGGTCCATACGAGCTTACAGTTCCGGAAGTCTGAGAATTCTAGAGTTCTAGGCAAAGCTGGAACCTAAGAGGTCATCAGCTCTGCACCTCCAGATGTTACAGATGTCAAGCTACATGCCCAAGGTCACGTGCTACAAAGTAGCAGAGTTTTGATTTCAACCCCTATCTTCTGATCCACGTCCATTTTATCTACTTTCCCTCCTTTCCTTTCTTTTTAACGTTTGCCTATTATCTTGTGCCATGTTAAACACAGGAACATGGAAGAAACTATCATACAGGGTTTATGTGCCTCACCGTTAGATCCGTTCAGTTCTGCCTCTGGCAAATAAAATCCCCGGCCCAAGCTTTTCACAAGCATTTGGAGGCCTTGAAAACCAGCCAGTACAAACCAGCCATGTGCTGGAGTTCCCAACCTCAGAAAGTTCAGAGTTTAATAAACGTTTAACTCCATTTCACAGTAATGGTCACAGACAGCCATGAGACAGCTGCACTGGCACCAGGTGGTTTTTCTTTGTGCAGTGGTGGGGGGGGGGGTGGCCATTTCAGACCAGAAAGGGATAGTGATATTTGTACCAAGGAAACCCTTGGCCTCTCCAGGATCTAGAGGAGATCTGGGTCTGGGGAAGA